AGCTGAAAATGGCTGTGCACCGACGCTCCCCATCCAACCTGATGGAGCTTGAGAGATATTACAAAGAAGAATGAAATTGCCCAAAAATAGGTGTGCCAAGCTTGTAGGATCGTACTCAAAACCACTCGAGGCTGTAATTGGGGCTAATGGTGCTTCAAAAAAGTATTGAGCAAAGGTTGTGAATACTTATGTTTATTATTTTTAAGAAATTGCAAATATTTCAAAACTAACTTCTTTCATGCTGTCATTATGGGGTATTGTTTGTAAAATGTTGAGGAAAAAAATTAATTTAATCCATTTTGGAATAAGGCTGTAACATAACAAAATGTGGCAAAGGTTGAGAATACTTTCTGGAAGCACTGTATACTGTAGAGCACTTGCATGACACAATTATTACAAAGGTGTCACATCCTTATTACTGGATTTTGCATGTTTTACATGATAAAGAATGCAGCTGGGGAAGTGAGACTTTGTGCTAAATCTCACCACTAAAGTCCATAAGAGGCATAAGAAGCATTTGTATGATTGAGCTCTTCACTAACATTTTTGAAAGTCTGATCTTTTGGTGACAGTGAAGGCTTTTCATTATAATGTAGCTGTGTAATCATCATATAGTACTGATTCCTGGTTGACTTACAGAATACGTTTTCACTGCCGTTGATGCATCATTAGTTTCCTGCACTTTATACCTGATGGTTATTTGGTGGCAATGTCACTTTCACAATGGTAGTTTGCATTTCAGTTTACCACTGGCCATATTGGTATGTTAACTGAAATGTAAAATTCCTTGCAGAGAAATATTGTTTAGAGAACCTTACTGTTTCCTGCAGTCGTGGAGGAAAAGCTATTGATTGCTCTTCCTTCACTTTACATGAGCCTCCTGCTTTTACTAGTCATTAATTATACAAATACTGTACTGATCTCTTCTGGAAAAATCCAGGTGCTCCATGGGCTGAAAATAATAGGATGGTATAGATAGGTTACGTAATTCTTCAGCGTGTGTATATATATCCAAGCTTTCCCGGGTTATTTCATGGTCAGAAAGGCCGTCTTAAAGAGACTCTGTCACAACTTATAACATCGCAGGTAGAAGCACAAAAACGAAATGCTTACTTGCAGTGTTTTTTCTTTCCATTAATTTAGATTTATGTAATCAATTCAGTAGCACAACCTGCCTACTCATCATAGCTCTCCTCTTCTGGAAGTGTCTAATTACTGTTTGTGCTGGCCCAGCTCCTTTGCCCCTCCCTTTCGGCTCGCTCCCTATGTAACATTTAGTTGCCAGCGGTTTAGACATTAATGGCTGTGTGTTGAGTTATTTTGAGGGGGCAACAAATTTACACTGTTATACAAGCTGTACACTCACTACTTTACATTGTAACAAAGTGTCATTTCTTCAGTGTTGTCACATGAAAAGATAGAAGAAAATATTTACAAAAATGTGAGGGTGTACTCACTTCTGTGAGATACGGTGTACAAAAATTAAGAAATCCATGTGTTGCACTTACCAACTGGTCCAGTTTTTTCTGTCATCCGGAAAGCACGCTAACCTGGCCCCTGGTTGGTTGCTCTGCTAATAGAACTAATTTTCCTTTGCTTTGGTTTTTATAAAAGTCTTTTGTGAAGCAGTCCGTGAATTCACGAAGAGCTAATAATATCTTCGGGAACATGAAACACCTCATACGCTGCAGTGCAGTCAGTCTGGCAAAGGCACTCTGGACGTACTGTTCAGACTGACTGCACTGCAGCGTATACTGGTATGGCTTGTGTCAGAATTAAAAACTGTCTGTGCTGTCTACAGCAACCAGTCAGATCTGTTCATGGGTTTTTCTTACAGTATTGATAGAATGAAATGGAGAAAAACAGGGAAGAAATTGAATGGATGTAATGCTGTTGACTGTCTAATGAAATATGCCTGTGCTTCCTATAGCAAGAAATAAAAGGCAAGATTGTCTCACATTTTCTATTTTTCATATAAATATAGGCTTCTATACTAAGAACCTACTGTAACCTAAAGTGATATTAAATCCAAAACCAAGAATGTAATCTATTGCAGTTTACCAATCATTAGATGTGCCTGCTTTAGTTTTTCTTTGGCATTTTTTCCTCTGATCTGGCCAGTAACACACCTCCTGTATTAGTGAGACAAATCTCTGGATGAATGAGCACAGCAAAGGGTAGTGTTAAATGATTTAGCAGATTTAAATACACCAGCAAATTGAAACTGATCTCCAGCTCACACTTTATAATCCGTTACAGCAAACATTTTTTTTCTCACGTTCATTTACGTACACAGCCTCTTCTTCTTCATCCATAACCAAACAGGGTCTTCTAGCCCCACATACAGGAGTAGGACACTAGGCAGAAAAAGATTCGGCACCTCCTATGGGCAGCCATCTCTGGCCATAAAACCCCCTTTCTTCTATAGGCCTCCAGTCAGTCTGACTAGTGTCAAGGGTGGTTAGCTCTTCCTGGGCGTTTCAACATCAGGCGTCTGTTTCTCAAGTTTGTAGGTGGTAAGCTGGTCGTCAGTGCACACATTTACGAAGTTCTATAAAGTTTGTGTGTTGGCATGTTGCCGATGCTAGTTTTGCTCACAGAGTTTTGCTGGCAGCTGCTTGGGATTCTTGGGCACCCCTTGGGGTTGTTTGGAGTGTTGGCATGTTACCCTGGGGTTTTTTTTCTCAATTTGTTGGTTTGACCACCACTTGTTGTGGTACTGCTTGGGGACATCCCTGTCTGGTCATGGATAAAGAAGAAGAGGCAGTGTCCGTCAATGAATGTGGGAGAAAACAGGATTTTTTTTGTTACCATAAAATCCATTGCTCTGAGTTCATTAATGAATACATCACCCACACTTCTATGGAGTTTTATCCTCTACACTGCTTGTGACTGACTGAAAGGAGAAATACAGCTAAAGCTCTTTTGGCTGTACTTCTGTGGATCACAGGAGTGTAGTTTGTTCTGCACTCCTGTGACCTGTTTTCAGCTGAAGCCCGCTGTCGGCTGATGTCACTCAACCAGTCCAGGCTGGGGAAAGATCCCAACTTCAAAGTCGGGATCCGTCCCAAAGTCTGGAGAAGCACCTTGCTCAGCCTCAGTTTAACTAAAAACAGTTAAAACTACTTTTTTTTTTTTTTTGTTTTGGTTTTTTTTTTAATGTTTTGGACAGAGTGGAGAGGGATTAGAACACCTGTCAAGTTTTTTTTTTTTTTTTTTTCTGCTGTTTGTGTGCCTGTTAGGGAGATTCACCCTGTCTATTTCTACTGTTTATTATTATCTTCAAAGGCTTAAGTAAAAGAGAATCCCAAATTGTAGGCTGTCCCCAGAAAAGTAATAGAGGGGAAATCTTCCAATGGGTACACTATTTCTGGTGACCTGGGGATCCCCAAGGCATTCCTTTAGTTTGCAGGGTTACCTCTCACTTCCTGTATTGGCTATAGCACAGAAGAGATGGTAAGTCTCCCCAATGGGATAAGATGGCAAAAAATAAACTGAGGGGTTATAACCCTCCCTTACTCTATCCAAAATGAAAAAAGTTTTGCCTATAGATTTACTTTAAATATTAGCTATTGGATATTCCCTAGCCCCACCCCCCATGCAAAATCGCTTGGTGTTTAAAGTAAATGTTTGCAATTTTTTTTTTTTTTTAGACTTTGGCTTTCAGCCTATTCCTCTAGGCTGTGGGGATGTCACTAGGCCTCATCGCAGGATCCCAGACCTGACAAGAATGTGCATCTTTAACTAGTTAGTGCACCTGATTATATTATAGTTAGTCCTTAGTGCTCAAAAGTCCAAAACAGTTGAACTTAAAAAGTCCCCCAGCTGCAGGGAACATACAGCCCAGGCAAGCAATAACATACTAATAGGACCAGTGCTGGTCCTGTTTGTATATTACCCCTGATTATACACACAGCCTGCTGCGACCTGCTCCATATTACATTACAAGGTTGTGTTATTTTGAGTACTGTCTAGGACGTTAGTACATGATGCTGATCTCGGGGACAAACATTTCGTATACCCCATACCTGCACTTGTTTCCTTCCTGTAATCTTTTTGTTTTTCATCCATTTTCCTACCTTTCAGAAAACCCCACTCCCCTCAACAGGACCTGATTAGTACTAAAAGTGTCTGCACATTTGCTAAAAATCCTGCATTGAAAGTTGCCATGGTGACAACAGTTTCAGGGGCTTAAGGCCTATGATTTAGAGTTAAGTCATAAACCTATAGAATGCAAGACATTTTTCCTGAGAAAATTAGAAAAAAAAAAGAATTGAAAAGCAAAAAAAAAACAAAAAACTTTGCTTCTGCAGGGTAAAGGTGTTTGGTTTTACATTTGCTGGTTTATAAATTAGATTTGTACAATAACTTGAGTATTAAAATGGAAACAGTGAGCCCCACACCCCCCTTCAGTCTCTCTGACTCAGAGAAGGAGGCAACGAGCAGGGCCCGGAATAGCTCTGATGCTGTCATCTGTGGACAGCCACTGATTTTCCAGTTTTCGCAAGCTCGCAGGCTTTCCCTAATCCCTTAGTCGTAGTGTGTTTCAGAGGTGGCCAATTGACCTCTGTAATCTTTATTTAACTGCAGGACTGGCTCCCCTGGCTTCTTCTCCAGCTTCTCAGGCTTGCCGTCTTCCCTATGTGCTCTACATCCTTCAGTTTTTCCTGTCTTCATCATATCATTCCATTCTTTTCAGGGGTTTGATTTTATTTCTCTTGTTTTTTCTTTCTTCAGAACATTCATCTCTCTATTGGGTTGTTATTTGCACTCTGATTTCTATTCCTGTTATTCTGGTTTTTTTGGCTTTACTTGTTATTTCTTCATTACTTTTTTACTAGCCTTATGTACTGTATTTTCTCACATGTCAGTTTCCTTTTTGTCATTACATGATCGTGTGTCCCTTTGCTTTCTGTGCACATTCTTCTGACCTTTTTGGTGCTCAAATCTCATACCTCCTCCTCGGTCCACTTTCCTGGTGAAGAAGCTCAGATGCCAGTATGACCCCTAGGCACAAGCCTTATTCTTCCTCTTTGGCTGCCCTTATTGAAGGCACTCAACGGCCTTTTTTGTTCCTCGTAACAGATTTCAACTACGGCACTGACCAATATGATGCTGAGGGGAATGAGGAGCAAAAGAGCTCCCGCGAGGGCTCGGAGACCATGCCCTACATCGATGAATCTCCCACCATGTCTCCACAGCTCAGTGCCAGGAGCCAAGACAGTGTCGATGGGGTCTCTCCCACTCCAACTGAGGGATTACTTCCAGAGGTAAGAAGTCTTCCAAATTTTTTTATTGCATTGTTCATTAACCATGTTGTCTTGCAATTATTGTTTGCTTATACCAAAATCTATTTTGTAAAAAACAGTGTAATATTTCTTTAACATTGAGCCTTGAAAGCTTGAACTGTAGAGAGTTTGGTTTGTTTACATCCCTGGTAGGTGGTGGAACCTTATAACTACTACCCTATACTGTAGTCAATTGCAGTATCCCACACAAATGTTATTTGATGTTTTTACTGTAGGATTGCAGTTCTGTCGCTGCTGAGACTGGTTAAATCAGTGAGGTATGTAAGATGGTAAGCTAGCAGTAAATGTGCAGTTTCAGACGTAGTGTACGGCATGGTTTTTTTAACCCTTGACCATCAAAGACGGCATTTTACAAAGCAGCGTCTATGTTCATCAGTAGCTTTATCAAGTTGTCTCCAACACTCCACTGCAGTGCAGTTAAGAGAACATCACTCACCTGAATAATGTGTATTAAATATTTGCCCTTACGTTTTATACTCACAGCTTTTCTGTCCCTTTAGGAATGTGAAGAGGGTAAAGGAGTGGGATTTCAGAAAATTTACTGTTTACCATTCCTTTGGAATGCAGTGATGGAGGGTTGTGGGTATTGATTAGAGGCCACAATTAGTTTGGAAACCAGGAGAAAAAAATGGCTGATGTTGGTCCTCTGGCTTAACTCGAGGTGCAAGCTTTCTGATGCCTGTTGGGGCAGGGGCATATATTAGTGCAGCAGCTTTCCGTGTCTGTTCTCCCTGATATATAGTTCTTTTCCTCTGGGTGTCTTATTTAGTGTCTCTAGTTCCATTTTTTACTCCTGGTGGTGCAGGTTTGTGGATGAATACACTCATAGCCCTTCATGGTAGAGATAATTGATGTTGGGTTTGGTCTTCAGCAGCAAAAACAACCGCAGAATTGGCAGGTGGTGCAAAGCTGCTGTAGCTTTCAGTTTAGTGTGCTGTTAAGTTTATATGGTCCACTGATCTTTGGTAGGAGATGGTATAGTCTTTATCACCACTCTTAATAAATTCAGTTGGGGTTTTTTCAAATGATCTTTTCTCCTTTTTTGAAGTAATAGACTGGCAAGTGTTTGTGATAAGTCAGAATATGCTATCATGCTTAAATTCAGACATTATGTAGTTTTGTTATGTTAAGTTTATCTGAATTTCATATCTCATAGGAAGCTTGTGTGTCTACAATGATCAAATCTGATAGCTGAATAAGAGCCTCCATTAATGATGCAATGAAATTAAATTCCCCACATATCTAAGTCTGGGTTGCAGCTGAGACATCTAAGCCTCCTAAAAAGTCCCAGAACTCTACAGTAGATCCTTCTGATTCAGAGGAGGGGGCTGTGCAGTGGGATAATGATGAATAACTTGATAAGCATGAGAATAACTCAGTCAAAAAAGAAGATTCTTTTTTCTGGCTAATGAGCTGGAAAAGATACTCAAGGCTATACAGACATCTTTGAAAGATGAAGTAAAACCAGTTACCCTTACTGTGGAAAACCAAACTTATGAAGTGCTAGGTAGTCACTTATGTGCTTGAAAATATGATGGGAGTTAATTTTGGAAGTAATGGAGATTACCTAATTTGTTGATGTCAAAATCTTGTATGGTAAGCGGTATCTTTGATTCCGAAGGTTCTACGTTTTTGGCATAGAGCTTTCACATATCTTCTTGTTTTTTAAAATCTTTAAAGAAATGTCCTATACCTTTTGAACACTTAGGACTTAGCACTTTGAACACCTCATGGCTGGATAACCAAAAACAAAGTTAGGATGAATTCTGAACCCTCACCCTGCTCCTCTGGTCTCCGTTGCACTTATCTACTGTGGTGCTGGTAATCATCTACGGCCCAGGTCTGCCAGTGTACCACATGGTACACTTTTAAACACCATACACAGGCCCAGAGGCCTTGTAGCAGCATAATCCTGGCAATAGCTAGCGGTCATTGATGCACTGAACATTGAGAGTTTCTACTTTCGCAAACAAAGAGGCTCTCATTGGCTAGAGCTGTCTTGTGACCGTGCTGACCAATGACCACTAGCCCATTTGCAGGTATTATGCTGCTACATAGTATCCAAAGCTGTGTACAGAGTTTTTAAGAGTACCGATTGGTACACCACTAGACCTAGGCAGCAGAAAAGTGCAGCGGGGAATGGAGGAATGGAGAGGGTGTTGGGAATTCATCTTTAAGTAAAGGAATTACCCTTTAATCAGATCTTCAGGCACACAATTACATTACCAGATATAGCCTCATTTTTGCTGATGCTAATTATTAAATATTTAAAAAATACAGTTCCATATTTGGCATGCTGCTGATATTTCATCACCTTTGGTATGCCACTCAGGAGCAGGCTGGTTGAGTTTTTATCAGTGTTGTCAGGTAAAAAGATTTTCAAGCACATGGTATCTAGTCACCTGGCTGAAAGTTCCAAAAAAAACAACTCCATTAGTCTACATAAGGGTCCTGTTTTATTTTTCAGTGCAGGGTTTTGCAAAATCACTATCCATTTTGGTGTATGGTGGACATTGAAAGTAATATGTTTGCTTTAAAGTTAAAATCTGTGCTGTGTGAAACACGAGAACACGCGGCTATAGTGTAAGACATAATTTACCACTCTAACTGGATTTCCTAATATTAGTGTATCTCATCTTATAACACACGTCTGGGCATCAGGTTTAGTGGACTCACGTAGAACCATGAACAATGCAGCTAGAATAGTGGCTGTTTCCATCACCATCAGACAAGCTTCGCAGGCTAGGTTTGTTTCTACTGCTAAAAAGAGATTTTTTTTATTCTAGGCAAAGCTACAAACAAAAGGATTTATCTCTGTTATCTCAGTTGTGGTAGAGATTATTGTGCCCTGGGATATTCAAATACTGTAGCTGCCAACTTTTAAAAAGGACATTTAGCTGTCCGGGTATCCAGTGCTATCCTCATTTGGACTGGTGGTTCACTGGTCTTTGGGTCTCCGCCGCTGACATGCTTACTAAGGGAAGTCGGTTGTGACTTCTTGCATTTTTACAGCCGGCTTGCTACTGCAAATGCACTGTATGAATGGTCCTGCAGCCTTCTGGGGCCTATGATGTGTCCCAGAAGGTTGCATGAGGGGGAATGTAAGGGGAGGACTTCTGCTCAAATCGCCTAGGCATTCAAAGTGGGACTGGGAACCCCTAGGTGTCCATGTAACAAATCCAGGAATAATTACAAAAAAAGTCAAAGTGCAAATCAAAGAATCTTTGCTAAGCAGTGTGTAAGACCAGAAGTACTTCTTCACTGTCCAAGTCCAGGTGAAAAATCAAAGGATAAGAAAAGTGTCCATTAATACAGAGTATATTACAATTCTTCATCCTAAATGCTCCTTAAAAAACTGTTCAGTGAATCTTCATATACGTACAACCCCAATTTAAAAAAAAGTTGGAATGCAATGATTTTGAAATCTCATAAACCAATATTTTATTGACAATAGAAAATGGAAAATCTACCTGAGAAAATGTACTATTTTAAGAAAAAAGTCATTTTGAAATTGGTAACAGCAACACATCTCAGAAAAGTTGGGACAGGGCAATGAAAAGCTGGCAGAGTAAGTGGTGTTAACAAGTAATAGTTGGAAGAACATTTTTGCAGATAGTCATGTTAATGACCTTTTGTCAATTAACCTAATTGAGTATAAAAACCGCATCTTGGAGAGTCAGTGTCTCAGAAGTAAAGATGCACAGAGGTTCACCAATCTGTGAAAAGCTACGTCTAAATATTGTCTTCGTAGTGCAGTCAAGATTGCACTCCCCAAAAGAACATTCCTGCCTTTACTCAAGATAGGCAAGTTCAGCTTGTGTTAAATCCAAAGATGTGATCCTCCACTTTCTGCATGCAGCAATGCCCCAGAGATCCAGGTGGATGAGTGGTTACGAAAAAGAGAAACGTCACATGGTATATTTTTTAAAAAGACCTTTAGGCCCCTTTCACATGGGCTGGATCTGGTTTTATTCAGCAGGGGATCTGATCTGTCTGCTGATCCCCTTCTGAGCTGAGTGGAGCAGCTGGATGACAGGTCCATTTCCACTCTGCTTATGCACAGCGGACACAGACACAGCCCACTCTCCTCTATAGGTAGACAGATGTAAACGGACCGGCTGTCCGTGTATACCTGACTGCCTTCTGATCCAATCTAGCCAGAGGGGAATGGATCCCACTTCCGTTTGTTTTGTTTTTTTTGGATCGGGGGTAGCCAGGTGTAAATGGACACAAGTCAATTTACATCCGACTACCCATAGATGAGAGTGGAGGGTTCGGTTGGCTCCGCCTGAAAAACAGACAGGCGGACCCGACCAGACTGCCCGCGTAAAAGGGGCCTTATTGTAAACACATCTATGATACAATGTTGCAGTGCAATTGAAACTCGAATAGAAAGTGCCTCAGCAAAATCCCACAGCTAACTGGTTGCTCTCTCCAACAGGAAAAAGGACCAGCCGCTCAGTGAAGAAGCACTTCTGGTCTCACACACTGCTTAGCAAAGGTCAAATTTTTATTTGGAATATATATATATATATATATATATATATATATACACATATACACAGTTGTGTTCAAAATAATAGCAGTGTGTTGAAAAAAGTGAATAAAGCTCAAAATCCTTCTAATAGCTTTTAGCTTTTATTTCCATACACACAAATGCATTGGGAACACTACACATTCTATTCCAAATCAAAACATGAAGAAAAATATATCAAATTTGTGTGTTTAGAAAAAAGTAGCAGTGTTTGTATTCTTCTTTACAAACTCAAACATTCACTATATAAACTGAAAAATGTTTGAAGATTTTGCTTTCCTTTGAATCACTTAATGAATATTTAGTTGTATAAGCACTGTTTCTGAGAACTGCTGTACATCTGTGTTGCATGGAGTCAACCAACTTCTGGCACCTGTGAACAGGTATTCCAGCCCAGGATGATTGGACTACATTCCACAGTTCTTCTCTATTTCTTGGTTTTGCCTCAGAAACTGCATTTTTGATGTCACCCCACAAGTCTTCTATTGGATTAATATCCCTGGATTGGGCTGGCCACTCCATAACGTCAATCTTGTTGGTCTGGAACCAAGATGTTGCACGTTTACTGGTGTGTTTGGGGTCGTTGTCTTGTTGGAACACCCATTTCAAGGGCATTTCCTCTTCAGCATAAGGCAGCATGACCTCTTCAAGTATTCTGATGTATTCAAACTGATCCATGATCCCTGGTATGCGATAAATAGGCCCAACACCGTAGTATGAGAAACATCCCCATATCATGATGCTTGCGCAACCATGCTTCACTGTCTTCACAGTGTACTGTGGCTTGAATTCAGTATTTGGGGGTCATCTGACAAACTGTCTCTGGCCACTAGACCCAAAAAGAACAATCTTCCTTTCATCAGTCCACAAAATGTTGCGCCATTTCTCTTTAGGCCAGTCAATGTGCTCTTTGCCAAATTGTAACCTCTTCAGCACGTCTTTTTTTCAACAGTGGGACGTTGCGGGGGCTTCTTGCAGATAGCTTGGCTTCACATAGGCGTCTTCTAATTGTAACAGTACTCACAGGTAACTTTAGACCTTCTTTGATCTTCCTGGAGCTGATTGTTGGCTGAGTCCTTGCCATTTTGGCTATTCTTCTATCCATTCGAATGGTAGTTTTTCGCTTTCTTCCACGTCTTTCAGGTTTCGGTTGCCATTTTAAAGCATTTGCGATCATTTTGGCTGAGCAGCCTATCATTTTCTGCACTTCTTTATATGTTTTCCCCTCTCCAATCAACTTTTTAATCAAGGTACGCTGTTCTTCTGAACAATGTCTGGAACGACCCATTTTCCTCAGAATTTCAGAGAGAAATGCACTGTAACCAGCATGTACAACATTTGCTGCCTTCCTTCCTTAAATAAGGGCAATAATTGCCACCTGTTTTTCAAAGAATGAATGACCTCACGAATAGAACTCCACACTGCTATTATTTTGAACATGCCCCTTTCAATTAGTGATTCAATTACACAGAATCAGCAGCATGCATGTCATGACTGTTGGGTCTGTTGGATTTCTATTACTCTACTACAGGCATGTCCAAAGTCCGGCCCGCGGGCCATTTACGGCCCGAGGGTCGGTTTAATACGGCCCTCCGTGTCAGTGTGTCAGTGTGTCTTATGGAGCGAATATGGAGCGGCCGGTCCGGTATTTCCACCGCGGCCGTGTCAGAATACCGGGCCGGCCGCTCAGCTCTGCAGCGGGACCTTACCTGTTCCTCTATCCAGCGGCGCGCTGTCTTCCCGACTTCTGTAGTGTGGGCGCTGGGCATGACAGCTGGGTGCCAAGTGCGCATGCGCAAGAAGCGGTGCTTTTTGTGAATGGTAAGGCGGTACCTGGGACACATGACAGATCCCAGAAGCCGCCGGACCAATCACAAAGCGCAAGTGCTTCTCGCTCATGCGCACTGGGCACCCGGCTGTCATGCCGAGCGCCATTAGAGAAGCCGGGAAGACAGCGCGCGGCTGGATCGAGGAACAGGTAAGATGAAAGAACAACTGCGGAAGTAAGAGCGGGTACCTGTCAAATTCAGGTACCCGCTCCCCACCTCCCCAAAGGTCAGCAGTCATCTGTACTGTCTGCAGTCTCTGGTCATCCCTGTGCTGTCCGCAGTCTCTGGTCATCCCTGTGCTGTCCGCAGTCTCTGGTCATCCCTGTGCTGTCCGCAGTCTCTGGTCATCCCTGTGCTGTCCGCAGTCTCTGGTCATCCCTGTGCTGTCCGCAGTCTCTGGTCATCCCTGTGCTGTATGCAGTCTCTGGTCATCCCTGTGCTGTCCGCAGTCTCTGGTCATCCCTGTGCTGTCCGCAGTCTCTGGTCATCTCCTGTACTGTGTCTGCAGTCCATTAGTTCAGAATTTTTTTTTTTCCTGTTTTCTGCCTCTAAAACTAGGTGCGTCTTATACGTCTTATACGGCGAAAAATACGGTAACTTGGCATAAAATAATTTATTTGCATTTAATTGTAATGGTTCAAAGAATGTTTGGAAAAATGTTCGGCCCTCCACCATGTTCACTTCATCCAATCTGGCCCTCTTTGAAAAAAGTTTGGACACCCCTGCTCTACTACACCTGCTAGTAAATTATTTGCCATGTAGAAATATCATTTCTACCAAAAACAGTGATTGATCAGGTTAGTGATGTCTGACTGCTATTATTTTGAACACAACTGTGTGTGTATGTATGTATGTATATATATATATATATATATATATATATATGTATATATATATATATAATGTATTGTTCCTGGGTGTTTTACATGGACATTATCACTCAGCTCTTTGTATGTGGTTTTGTTTTCACCATTTTTGTGTGTAATATTTGGGTTTTTTTTTCACATAAGTATATTATTTTGGATTCTATGATATGGTTTTAGAATGTTTATAGTGCTGTGCTATATGAAAGAACCTTTTATTTCATGTTGTGTGTTATGGTGGGTGATTTAATTATGCCAGGGTATTTGGTTTGTGTCCACTGGAGTGTGTTTTCACAATTTTATTTTTGGAGGATTTATTTCTATTTTATTTTTTTCACAAACATTCATCTTTTTGAGATTAGCATGGAGGGGTTGCATTATATTGCCATTTCTCCCTTTGGCCATATCTTCCTAAAATATCTTCCTAAACTTTGTTGAGCAAGAATTGAACTACCCCAGTACTGCTGGAATTCTTGATGCCCAACACTTCTGAAGTTCTGGATACATCCTCAGCACTTTTTATGAAAAATTGTTGGCAGAGCAAAAGTGGAGTTAAAGTGGTTGTAAAGGCAGAAGTATTTTACCTTAGTTCATTCTTTGCAGGAAGGTAAAAAAAACCTTCTGCACGCAACTACCCCAACAGCCCCTCCAAATACATACCTGAGGTCAGTCTCGATCCAGCGATGTGCACGATAGCTGAGGCTCTTATTGGCTCAGATACAGCAGCAGGAGTCATTGGTTACTACTGTTGTCAATCAGAGCCAGTGATGTGGCACGGGGGGTGAGGCTGAGCCCCGTTCTGTGTGTCTTATGGACACAAAGCAGGGCTCGGGAGTGAGCACAAGGCTTGCTTTGGTTGCACTTTTGGTGGGGAGGGAGCTCAGAGCGCTGGCAAGAGCTGCTCAGGTAAGTGTGACCCTTTAATTTAACTTTAAGTCATTTTTGGGCGTCATATCCAACATTAGTCCCACAATTCATTCATGATCGATACCTTGGTTTCTTACATGACTCTCTTCTGGTTTGTTATATACCAACCCTTTTTTGTTAAAGCCTCTGTTGTTTTTGAAAACCAAAAACTGACGTATGAAGATGCCAGCACGTACTGCACATGTCAGGATGTTTTTACAGGCAACACATTGCCTCTACCAGGTTAGAGCCTGCTTTGTACCTCCTGCCTCCTCCACATTCCCGTTGCGCCACTATTATGATGGGCCGACTAGCTAATGAATAGAAATGCACACCGGGCAGAAAATGGCGGACAAGCTTCAGCACTATTCGTAATGGTTTGGTATGGAGGTAGTGATATCTGTTTCCAGGTGTTTGCATTTCATGCCTCTCGAGAGTCTAGCACAGGGGCAAACCTATATCTTGAGTTCCACAGAACTGTTCTTAAATTGTCAATTATTGTCTAAATTATTCACCAACTGCTCAGAGTGCTAGATCTTCTTCTGTTATTGTGCATTGTACTGTCTATACCTATTTGTCTTATTGACAAGACCTGTCAGGCAACTGCATTGCCAAGTATGTGCACCTTTATGAAACCATGTGAGCTAGAGGTCATTTTGGAACAGGGCCAAGATTTCATGTCAAAATTACCTGCTTGAGTTTTGCACCTCTAAGGTGGTTATCTGGTAGCTTTTTCTGGTGTGCTATAAACGCACTTGGGGGAAAAAAAAAACAACCAAAATTACTTATTAAATTTTTTCCTCCCAATCACTATGACAACAGTTTTCTTCCCAGCCAAACCTTTTTTTGGTCTTGAATAGACTAAGGAAGGAAGAAAACATTTGCTGGGTTTTTATCACTGTCTGTGTCCCTGGTGGGGATGTTGATTCTTCCTTTCAGTTCTGGTGGCTATTGAAAAAAAAAAAAAAAAACTCAGCTGGAATCCAACCAATCTGCATTTTCTGCAAAAGTACTGCTTTGATCTTTACTCTTCTTTCTTGGTGTCCTTTCTGTTCTCAGGTATTCACTCAGATATATATGGACTGGTAAAAAAAGATGGAACATAAGAAAGGGAGAAAGGGGGCACCCACGAAGTGTAGCATTGAATTCATCCACTTATGGACATATAATACAACTGGCAACTCACTGGGTTAACAGATAAAAGGCATATCTTGGGCAGCACAGTGGCTAAATGGTTAGCACTTCCGCCTGGCAGTACTAGGGTCGTTGGTTCGAATCCCAACCACGGCATCACCTGCCTTGAGTTTGCATGTTCTCCCTGTGCCTGCGTGGATTTCCTCCGGGTACTCCGGTTTCATCCCACACTCCAAAGACATGCTGGTAGGTTAATTGGCTCCTGTCTATATTTGCCCTAGTATGTGTATGTATGAATGGGAGTTAGGGACCTTAGATTGTACACCCCTTGAGGGTTAGGGACTGATGTGAATGTAATATATATGTAAAGCACTGCGTAAATTGATGGCGCTATATAAGTACCTGAAATAAATAAATATCTCCACTGTCAGCCCCACTGATGTCTTGTCCTGCTTGTGCAGCCTCCAGGCTCTGTGCAGAAGGCTTTAAAGACTGCTGGAGACCGAACCAGGAAGAGCCAGTAACCTTGTAGCAGGTGTAGAAGTGATATCACGGACGTGGTGTCTGAATATCGAAACAGTGACTGCATCTGATTGACTGTTGTGACTGTTTGGCTGGCCATTTTCTGGCTTCCCCATTTTTCAGTCAAAGGTCATTGAGATGGGTGGTGCTAGCAGGACCATCGACAGCTTGAATTTTGGCTGATTTAGCATGAATTGACTGAAATTCAAACCGTGTATAACCAGCTTTAGGGTGAAATGCTATTTTTACTTTTTCAATTGTTCTTTATTGTATGGTATCTTCAATGTGATTGCCAAGTTACCACACATTCACTGGAGGGAAAAAACGTTTATAGGACAGGTACAGAATAGAAATTTTATAGATTTTGTGGTGTTTAAAAAAAGAATTGCACTATTGATGGTATATTTTCTAATATCAACCTGCTTGTTGCCTGGTTATTCTGTATGTCAGAAATTACTCAGATATGATGTGTGTGGGGGAGTGCTTTTCTTGTACTATAAGTGCCATCAAATGACGGTATATTGAATCAAGCTGTCTATAGGTTTTTGTGACCTGAATTACTCTTCCCTGCCAGGCCTCATGTACAAAAGATATAAACAGCATGATGGGGTGAGATCACCCAGTACCGTGTGCTTTTCAGACATTGTACTGGATGACAGACATTTAGCAGTATAATAGATCAGAATTTAGCCTGATTATGTTTTAATAATGAAAATGCCTTGTAGAAATTACAGTAGTTATGAGTGAAGCATGTGGGTTACAGACCCTTATATATCCATGGATGAGCATTCCGGTGGCATTTGGCTTAAAGTCATGTGTAGATCCATTTAGTGTACTCCGTGCAGTTCCCACTATATACATGATTATACAGTAGATTGGTTACATCGGATTGGTCACAGACACTAATCACATTGCAAAGATCAAGGTTGTACCAGGTAAATAGGCACATAAAACAAAGGTATTTCTGCTGTACTTACCAGTCTTCAGCTAGCAGAACCCCAGGACATTAACCAGGTCATTTTTAATATGCTCCATCCACCTCATATAATGGTCCTGAGATCAGTGTAGTCCTGGATTTTGCCAGACGTGTGTTTTTGTAAAATAGGGATTATACACTCACCGGCCACTTTATTAGATACACCTTGCTAGTCTCTGTGACCAAGCCCCCTGTAGGCAGGGTGAAACGCGTCAGAGGGCATGGCCAGAGTGACAGTTGAAGGCACTCATTACACACTGTTCTTCTTTGACTCCTGGAGATCGATCTGAGCGGCGTTAATCTTTACATACACCTTGCTAGTGCCAAGAAAATATCCCGCACACATTACACCACCACCAGCCTGCACTGTTGATACAAGGCAGGATGGATCCAAGCTTTCATATTTATGCCAAATTCTGACCCTACCATCTGAATGTAGCAGCAACCAGTCTGCCCATTCTCCTTTGACATCAACAAGGCATTTTTGCCCACACAACTGCCGCTCACTGGATATTTTCTCTTTTCCGGACCATTCTCTGTAAACCCTAGAGATGGTTGTGCGTGAAAATCCCAGTAAATCAGTAGTTTTTGAAACACTCAGACCAGCCTGCCTGGCACCAACAACCATGCCACATTCAAAGTCACTTAAATCCCCTTTCTTCCCAATTCTGATGCTCGGTTTAAACTTCACGAAGTAATCTTCACCAGGTTTATATGCCTATATGCATTGAGTTGCTGCCATGTGATTGGCTGATTAGCAGTTTAAGCTGCCCATGTAAAGTGGCTGCGTTTTACATGTCAGATGAGTAAAATGCCACTACACTGTGCGCACAATTATTAGGCAAGTTGTATTTTTGAGGATTAATTTCATTGTTGAACAACTACAGTGCTCTTGGTCACTCCAAAATGTTAATAAACCTCAAACCTGAATATTTAGGAAAGTAAAAGTGAGGTTTTCCTAGGAGAATATCTGTGTGCATAATTATTGTGCAACTATTAGTGTGCAGAATTATTATGCAGCTAAATAAAAAAAACAAATACTTTCCCATCTCACTTGTTTGTTTGTTCTCAATTTAACAGATGAAAATAAACAACTCTAAATTTACAAATGAACATTGCTAACATTAAAAAAAAAATAATCAGTGACCAATATAGCCAAGCGTCAGTTTCTCGATCTATTGACGATCAACTTTTTGTGCAGCAGAGGCCTTGGCCTCCCAGACACTGTTCAGAGAGGTGTACTGGTTTTCCTTCTCCGTAAATCTCCTGTTTTAAGAAAGGCCCCCAAGTTCTCACTAGGGTTTAGGTCAGGTGAGGAAGGAAGCCATGTCCTTATTCTTTCATCTTTAAGGCCTTTACTGGCTAGCCACACAGTGGAGTACTTTGATGCACGCAATGGAGCATTGTCCTGCATAAATATCATGGTTTTCTTGAAAGACATTGACTTTTTCCTGTACCACTGCTTGAAGAAAGTGTCTGCTAAAAATTGGCAGTAGATTTGGGACTTGATTTTGAGTCCATCTTCAACTCAAAAAGGTCCAACTAGTTCATCTTTAATAATATCAGCCCATACCAGTAACCTGCCTCCACCTCCAAGTGGAGCTCTGTGCTAATTACTGATCCAGCCACAGGCCTAATCATCTGGTCCGCCAAGAGTCATTTTCATTTCATCAGTCCATAAAACCTTTGAAAAATATGTGTTCAGATATTTCTTGACCCAGTCTTGATGTTTCACCCTATGTGTCTAGTTCAGTGGTTATCAGGTTTCAACTTTCTTTACCTTGGCCATGTCTCTGAGCACTGAACACCTTGTACTTCTGGGAACTCCAGGTAGGTTGCAGTTCTGGAATATGACAGCACTGGAGGATAATGGGTTCCTGGAAGCTTCACTTTGATTCTTCTCAAATCTTTGGCAGTTAATTTGCATCTTTCTTTCTCAAACGTTTCTTGCTACCCTTTTGACTATTTGCAACAAAACGTTTGATAGTTCTGTGATCACGCTTCAATATCTAAGCAATTTCAAGAGTGCTGCATCCCTCCGAAAGACTTTTTACAAATTTTGACTTTTTAGAGCCAGTTAAATCTTTTTTGGCCCACTTTGCCTGAGGAAAAGAAGCTGCCTAATAATTATGCACACCTTGATATAGTGCAGGAGTGAGCAACGGTGGCCATTCCAGCTGTTGGTGAACTAAAAGTCCCATCATGCCTCTGCCTTTGGGAGTCATGCTTGTAACTCAGTTTTGCAATGCCTCATGGGACTTGTAGTTCTACAACAGCTGGAGGGCCACAGTTGCCCACCCCTGATATAGGGTATTGATCTCCTTAGGCCACACCCTCCCTCATTACACAAATACGCATCACCTGATATGCTTAAATCCAATAAGTATTCAAGTTTATACAGCTTGGAGTTGGACAATATGCATAAAAATGATGATTTGCTCAAAACACTCACTTGCCTAATAATTGTGCACACAGTAGTATTGTTAGGTTTGAACCACAATAATTTCAGTAGAAATACTGTATGTAGTTACTCAACATATTGATGGCCTGTCCGTGAATAGAGTGTGTGTACAAGAGACAAGTCCCTGTAGTAGTACAAGGCTTCAAAACATCAGTTCTCTTATACTTACGATTATATGGGCTCTTTCTGAACATCTTGGTGTGCTGGTAAGTGTATCCAGATGTACATTAGACAAGGTGCAGGACCATTGACACTCGAGTGTTTTTCGACTGGTTTTCCTATGCTTGGCTACGTTTGACATGCAGAATCTCATTCTTCTTAATTGTCCCTGTTCACACTTGTACACCATACACTCTAGTACTTATTCTCAATAAAGGATGTGCTTCTTTTCAGCATATATGGGGGTTTATGACCCCATTACAGGAGTACCTATAAACATACAACACACATGTTTTTGTGTGTGTTTTTGCGCATGACAAACTCTCTGCTCTTCTAGAATTGCTCCCCTCCCCCAGCCCAAGAAACCAAACCCTGAAGCTTGATACATGTGCAGAATGCCTGTAAAATGCTTGTAATTATTTATTTTGCCCATTAAAATGGATTTTCATTCAAGCTGTAATCACGCCTAGTGTTATGGTGTGTATAGATGCATTTACAGGCATCAATGCGTTTTTTCTGCCAAAATGCTGCTGCTCTTAGATGCACAGGCAGTGAGTTTTTTTTCTGCCTCTAAACTCCTCTAAAAGCCTATTATTATTATTATTATTATTATTATTATACAGTATTTATAAAGTGCCAACAGTTTGCTCAGCGCTGATGCCTATGGGTGCATGGGACACATATGGGCAGCACAGTGGCTAAATGGTTAGCACTTTCGCCTGGCAATATTAGGGTCGTTGCTTCGAATCCCAACCACGGCACCACCTGCCCGGAGTTTGCATGTTCTCCCTGTGTCTGCGTGGGTTTCCTCCCGATACTCCGGTTTCCTCCCACACG